GGGAGCACCTTGCTCTGATACCAATTGAAAGTGTGTCATATCAACTACGGGGGGGTGAATAGGCGATTTTTATGAATTCTTCACTGAGGAATTTCAGGGTGAGGAAATTGCTAAGCGAAGAACTACTTGCAGCGGAATAAGTACTCAGATGTAGACATAACGGAACACAAGCATGGTCATCATGATGAAATGAAGACAAGCACAGAGTACAAAAAGCGTAAACATAGGATAGCACAGGACAAAGATAAACAGACTGAAGAAATTGAGCTGAGGAAATTGAGAAAGTCTTCAGTCAAAGTCTTTAAACAGATATGAGCAAGCACATAACATAGTTATGAGGAAATGAAAGAGTTGAGAAAATAGAACCAGTAAGCTTGGTGACGACGGTAGACCAGTTCCAACTGTTGTCTCAGTTGTGCATCTGGTTGGAGAGGCTAGGTATTTAAACCTGAGGACACACCCTCACCGTATTCTCCTTGAGCTAAGGTCACACAAACCTCTCCCAATCACTCGTGGTAAGTCTTCAGGTGACTTCCAAACCTTCACAAACTCGATCACTCGGTGATCCACAATTTCCTCTTGGATGCTCTAGACGATGACGCCTAACCATCTGGAAGAAGCACAGTCTTATAAGATAACAAGCGTCGGATCCACGCAGGATCAATCTCTTCAGTGATGCTCAATCACTTTGGGTTTGTAGGTGTTTGGGTTTGGGTTTTCCTCACTTGATGATTTTCGTTCAAAGTCCTCGGAGGATGGGTTGATCTAAAATGACAAGTGTCAGTTTCCCTCGGAGCAGCCAACCAGCTAGTGGTTGTAGGGGGCTGCTATTTATAGCCTAGGGAGTAGCCTGACATGATAAGACATAAATGCCCTTCAATGATATGACCGTTAGGTGGGTAGATATTTTGGGACAGCCGGCGCGTAGCACAGCAACGGCCAGAATTTTGAGTATCAAATACCTCAGGGCTATCATGTTCCTCACTTTTTATGCAATCCGCACTAGTGAATTCCTAATTCCTCAGTCAGAACAAATTCCTCAGAGACCAGAAGAACTTCGTCTCTGTCACTGAAGAAATTGACTGAACTGTATGAGATTTCCAATGGCTTCACTCGAAGGGATTGGTAGGTGTAGAACTTTGAGTTGAGCATCACATGGAAAAAATTTCTTAGTATTTCCTCGACCCCCTTTAACAGTACGGTGTTTCCTATGACTCGAGAAAGAGAAAATGAAACTACGAAAATAAAAGTCTTCATGCTTCATGTTCCTTGAATGATTACCAAGTCTTCATGGTCACACCAATTTCTTCACTTTCAAAGTCTTCAGAAAGTCTTCAGAAATCCAAAATCTTCGGTCGAAGATATTCATTTTTAGGGGTCGACTTTTACTGTAAATCTCAAACTCCTCACAGACTTATAGACATGTATACACTCATAAACACATTAGTCCCTTAACCTATAAGTCTTCAATACACCAAAATCACTAAGTGGCACTAGATGCACTTACATATATTATTTTTGGGACTAACCTATTAACCCAAGGCCCAGTGCAAATTGTTGTTTTTTGCCTATTTCAGTATTTCACAGAAAAGGAATATCAAACAGAGTCCAAACGGAATGAAACCTTCGGGAGCGTGATTTTTGGAACAAATGTGATCCAGAGGACTTGGAGTGGATGTCAAGAAACGAACAAGGAGGCCACGAGGCAAGGGGCGCGCCCTCAACCCTCGTGGGCCCCTCGTAGCTCCACCAACCTACTTCTTCCTCCTATATATACCTACGTACCCCGAAACCATCTAGGAGCACCACGAAACCCTATTTCCACCGCTGCAACCTTCTGTACCTGTGATATCCCATCTTGGGGCATGTTCCGGCGCTCCGCCGGAGGGGGAATCGATCACGGAGGGCTTCTACATCAACACCATAGCCTCTCCGATGATGTGTGAGTAGTTTACCACAGACCTTTGGGTCCATAGTTATTAGCTAGATGGCTTCTTCTCTCTCTTTGGATCTCAATACAAAGTTCTCCTCAATCTTCTTAGAGATCTATTCGATGTAACTCTTTTTGCGGTGTGTTTGTTGAGATCCGATGAATTGTGGGTTTATGATCAAGATTATCTATGAACAATATTTGAATCTTCTCTGAATTCTTTTATGTATGATTGGTTATCTTTGCAAGTCTCTTCGAATTATCAGTTTGGTTTGGCCTACTAGATTGATCTTTCTTGCAATGGGAGAAGTGCTTAGCTTTGGGTTCAATCTTGCGTTGCTCGATCCCAGTGACAGAAAGGGAAACGACACGTATTGTATTGTTGCCATCGAGGATAAAAAGATGGGGTTTATATCATATTGCTTGAGTTTATCCCTCTACATCATGTCATCTTACCTAATGCGTTACTCTATTCCTACGAACTTAATACTCTAGATGCATACTGGATAGCGTTCAATGTGTGGAGTAATAGTAGTAGATGCAGGCGGGAGTCGGTCTACTTGTCACGAACGTGATGCCTATATACATGATCATGCCCAGATATTCTCATAATTATGCACTTTTTTATCAATTGCTCGACAGTAATTCGTTCGCCCACTGTAATACTTATGCTATCTTGAGAGAAGCCACTAGTGAAACCTATGGCCCCCGGGTCTATTTTCCGTTATATAAGTTTCCAATCTATTTTTACTTTCAATCTTTATCATAAAAATACCAAAAATATTATCTTATCATCTCTATCAGATCTCACTTTTACAAGTGGCCATGAAGGGATTGACAACCCCTTTATCGCGTTGGTTGCAAGGTTCTTATTTGTTTGTGTAGGTACGAGGGACTTGTGTGTAGCCTCCTATTGGATTGATACCTTGGTTCTCAAAAACTGAGGGAAATACTTACGCTGCTTTGCTGCATCACCCTTTCCTCTTCAAGGGAAACCAACGCATGCTCAAGAGGTAGCACGGGGCTCGAACACGTACTCAATGGGCGTGCACCGGCGAGACGGGCGCACTCCGGCCTCCGGGCGTTCACCATCTACTCCTCCTTGCCACCTGATAGCTTAACAGCGACCCGTTATGGTGGATGCCACGTGTCAGTTACCCTTCCATGATAATTTTGGTATTGACATGGAACACTTCCATGACACGCCATTTATCATCATGGAAGTGGACACTTTCGTGATGATAATTTTGGTATTGTCATGCAACACTTATACGACAACACATATATGACTATCTTGATTCTGTCATAAAATCATCATGGATGTATATGCATGACAGAAAGCGTGGCATATTATGACAAACACGTATCGTCACGGAAGTGTTTTCTTTGTAGTGGGGGATACGAAGGGGTACTCCTTGGATCGGTGGGAGGATGTTGGGTACCAATGACGACCACGTACGGATTGGGCTTTAACAGTACAAATTGTTTGAACGACTATGAAATGTCACGAGGCCAAACTAGTAGTGCTACAAGGGAAAAATAATGATCATACACTTCTTGTACTTTGATATTGACTTCAATTCAACTTTAATTGAAGTTTTCCCACCATTAAAAATCTGCATGGAGTCCGTAGGCCTCACTTGATCTGAATAGTGACGGTCCAACATTGTCATTTTGAATAATCGTGTGTAAACCTTTTCCCCTGCTATCTACTACCTCCGTCTAGGTGAATAAGTCATTCGCATAGTTTTAGATCATCGATTTGAGAAATTAAATATGTGTTATATGTCATCAAAAGCATATCATTAGATTTCTACACGGATGTAGTTTCCAAATATATATTTTTTTTGTCACATATAATACATATTTAGATAGTTAAATCATTGACATAGAACTAAGTGAATGACTTATTCACCAAAACGGAGGTAGTAGCTGGTACCTCATACTTTGCAACATTGTCACGACAATCATGGTTGCATCACTTTATACAAAATCATCATTCTTAAATTAAAATTTACCAAAGTGACCCAAAAAATAAGCAGGTAGATGTATGTTTACCAAATTATTTCTCAAAAGGGTAGTACTTGTAAGATCGTCAAACCAATATAAAAAGATTTAAATTTTCCAACAGGTGGACCAATCAAGGGAGAACTAACACTTACCACATAGGAGAAGATTGCAACACTGGCAGAAAGGGAGTTGCTGAACCCTTCCTATAAGCCGATGGGAACGGTGAAAGCGGTGAAGGTTACCGAATACGACGACGACATGGTCCCTCGAACCCCACCAGCTTCTTCGCGTCCCGCAAGTTCACTTTGTACCTATGCGCTCATGGACACAGTGATATATGGCTTAGATCATCAAGCAGTGATGCGAAATGACGCACTTTGTGCTTCTTTCAAGTGTATCAGGCATCAGTTAAGCCCAGCAGAAGCGACAACTGAGCAATGGTCTACAGCCTACATCAGATGCGTATGATTTCCACTAACAAAGAAGATTCCCACACCGTTCAAACTAAGGGCACATATACATAATTACATATACATCTCATTTTTTATTGGGATCTTGTGTGGTTGTACTTATTAAACATGTCCACTTTGGAAACCTGTGTTATGGAAGTGATGTAGAACAAATAAGATAGAAGTTGTTGTGTCGTGGTCCAATTTATGTTAGAACTGTCTCCAAACCAAATTGAGGAGAGAAAATAAGAGCAATCACAGGAAGCAGAGGCACATGTTTATTGGACAATATTACCCTCTTCAAAGATTTTATGGGAGGGTGTGCCCATTTTTTGTCCTTTCTACGTTTTCTGATCATATAAGACCGATGAGGACATGCCTTCGCATATTGGAAGCCTATTTTTTTTCTATTTCTATGCCCGTTAAATTATGTGAATCAATGAGAACCAATGATCATACCAATGCAAACAACCACAATTGACGAGGCTATGCGCAATATTTTTATTACACACCAAAAGAGGACAAATACATTATGCAAATGCCATTCAGCTGACATCGTTCTTTGCTTTATTCAATTATTCCCATTATGGGAATGTTCTTACACTGAAGGCCTAGGTACTTGCCGGGGGTGGAGGTCGTAGCTTTATGACTGGAACAAGGTAACCTGCAAAATTTTCATTCTTCGCATCATGATGATGAACATAAGCAATTATAGTAAAGTGTGCACATATATCAACGCATGCGCAAAAAAAGATGTGTGTGTGTGTGTGTGTGTGTCTGTGTGTACAAATATAACAATATATATACCAACCTGCACAATGAGTGTGTGGGTGCAACCCTTTGCCGCATACATGTGTCATACGGGCGAACTTGGGTAGACTAATCCTAGTCAGTTCGTGAGCGGTGAACCGATCACAAACACAATGGATGTCCGTCACACCTCTCATTGTAACACAACATAGGGTCCACGGTTGCGGAACCTGGTTACCAAGATTCTTTTCGATGAAACCCGAGCAATCTTGGATCACGTTATTTTTATCGATGGTGCAGTGATCTACTCCATGAATTGCTTGTGCATTTCGCGAACAAGAATAGATAGCCAAAAAGACTAGGAGGCACAACACTCCAGCTACTTTACAGTTGGTCATGTTCTATGTTGTGTAGTACTGTCGGTATGTTTTAATGCATGACTTTTGCACCACTCGGCCTCTTATATAGCGGTTTTAGTGCAAGTTTCAGAATTGGACTATTTTTAATTAGTTGAGAGATATATGACTTGGATATGTTCTAACTTAATGTAGGCACATCTAACTCTTGTATCAAATGGTTGGCAATGGATACGTGGATGCAACCTAATAATTGTTGGCGATGGAGTAGTTGATTTCAAACGCTTAATAGATATGCATACCCAACTTGGGTGTGTTGATATTTAATGTAGGCACATGTGTGGTTCCTGTAGTATCAAATTGGTAAAGGATACTTCTAATTAAATGTAGTTAGGTGCATCCAATTCTTGTATCAAATTGACGATAAAGGATACATGGATATATTTTAGTATTTATATATCTATTTCTATCTATCTATCTGTATATATTTTAGTATCTATATCTATATCTATATCTATCTATACTTATACTAATACAAACTTCCTAGATATTTTCATATTAATCGATGAAAACAGGAAAAATAGAAACCGTTGATTTTGTGGGCCAGAATTATTAAGGTTGAGATCTATCAGTAAATCCCTTGGATGTTTCAATTGAAAAGAAAACTGGGATATAAATCGGCCAGAAAAGGAATAGATGTGATCCAATCTAACCAACCGTTCAGATTCCACAAGATAGATGAGAAGTCATCCAATACTCAAAATCAGGACCGTGTTTCTCTGTTACTAACCTAGCCACAACCTGTTTTGTATATCGAAATTGCTAAGTAGGAGTAACATCTAGATGTTTTTAAGCATGTCAAATCTAAGTTTTTAATCATTGAATCTATTCCACTTCAAATCTCGTACAGATTTAGATTCGCACCGCGTGTGTCCCTCGTCGCTAGTCTCGCACGTCGCTGTCGCCCGTTCATGCGTTGCTTTTCTTTTCTTTCTTTTTTCTTTTGAGGGGTGCTCTTTTACTTTTGTTGGTCCAGCCTCTTGTGCATGGGCCAGCTGTATTTATTTTTTTTGTCTTTTCTAGGCAGTGTTGTCGAAGAGGATATCTGTTTTTAGGCCCATATTACTAATCGGCTCCGTTCATGTAATTTTGTCCAGCAAGTCGACTCGCGGGAGCTCCTACTCAGCGCTTTAAGCGCCCGTTAGCGCTGCTGGCGCTCGCAGGCGCGACGTAGCGGGCCGCCTGCGAGGCGTAGCGGGCTGGCCAGAAATAGCTCCTACTCAGCGCTTTAAGCGCCCGTTAGCGCTGCTGGCGCTCGCAGGCGCGAAGTAGCGGACCGCCTGCAAGGCGTAGCGGGCCGGCCAGAAATAGCTCCTACTCAGTGCTTTAAGCGCCCGTTAGCGCTGCTGGCGCTCGCAGGCGCGACGTAGCGGGCCGCCCACGAGGCATAGCTGGCCGGCCAGAAATCTGCTGAAAAATCCAACGCGATGAAAAAATTAAAGAATAAATCAGGAGAAGCGGGACTCGAACTGCAACCGCTAAGGGGGATGATAGGCGCCGGTGTGCCGGCCCAAACTTTGGGCCGGTCGCACCCCAGCCATACGATGCGAGCTACGGAGCCGTTAGATTCCGCCCGACGCCCAGCTCACCCCGTGCCCTTACCCTTCCTCCTGCTCGTGCCCGTTGACCAAATCTACAGATGGTCCCCCGCCGCGACACCGCTCCTCGCCGGAGGCAGCGCCGCTCGCCCCTCGACCGGATTAGTCGGTGCACCGCCGGCCCCGGCACCAAAAAGGACTTGTCTCTTGCTCGCCGGCCACCCGTGCCACCTGCACTCATCCCTCGGCCGCCACATGACATTGACGCCTGCAGCTCGCCCATCGGTCGGTTCCAGCTCTAGTCGCCATGGTTGCAACATCCCTGAGGCACCGCCGGCGTCTCCGCTCATCACCGTCGTTCAGTTCGAAGCACCTTGTCCTCGGCAAAAATACAAACTTCATTAGTTTGCGAGTAGTAGCAAAATCACATGCTGGTTGCAGCAAAAAAATCATCGAATCCAGCAAAAAAGAACCACCATTGCGTCGACCACTTGCAAAAATTCTCGTGTATCTTCCCAGCAAAAGTTCTTATGGGTTCCAGCATTTTTTTTGCCGGTTCCAGCAAAACACATCTCGACGCCGTCCCGTTGCATCACCGAGCAATAGAGGTTGCAACCTTTTCTCTGTTCGCTTCCAGCAAAAAAAACTATATGGTAGTAGCACCGTACCTCGACGTCTTCACCCCGGCAGCTGCTGGTTGCAACAAAAATAGAAGATGGTTCCAGCATCTCCAGGATCCGGTTCCAGCAAAAAAACTCTTTGGTAGTAGCACCGTACCTCGCCTTCTTCACCCCCTGGCGGTTGCTGATTGCAGCAAAAGTGGACGATGGTTCCAGCTCCAGAGAACACCGCTTCCAGCATATTGTGTGGCCGGTTGCAGCTTTCCGGTCAGTGAGGTCCGGGCCTTGCCGGTTGAAGCTCATCGCTTGAACGGCTCCACCACCACCACCGTCGTCCGGGATGCAGCTCTCACGGAAGGAAATGGAAAGCTAGCCATGGCGACTAGCGCGTTCGGCTGCGGCAACCATGGAGAGGAGCGCTCGAAGCCAGCCATGGCGTTCGCTCGCAGCTGCCGCAAGGTTGCTTGCAGCGGCCAGGACGCGTCGCGCGCCAGCTTTTTGTGCCCCTCCTCGCCTTATTTTGCTGCAGGGAAGAAGGAAGGGGATGGGCAGAGGAGGAGATGGAAGGGAGAGAAGAAACATGACGCTGGGAGGGGTGTGGCTGAAGGTAGGGGATGAAGTGCGAGGGGAAAAGATAAGGCAGGAAGGGGCGGTCTGCCT